CAGCAGGAAAATGTAACTTCCTGTTGTCACCTTTAATTTTTCTGAAATATCATTACATGATCCAAGTCAACCAAAAGGCAGGCTCTTCTAGAATATTTCAACTATAAAGGAAAACTGGTGATTAGAGTCAGGTATTTCTGGGATACAGCAATATTTACATAAGTCTAAACCAGGGCAATACATGTTAAAAAGAAGCTGCTGTGAAATTTCTTTGAAAACACATCAGAAATTACTTCCACTGAAGATCCCAGGAATTCCTATTTGGCTTTCCTCAGATGAGGACGACACAGCTACAAATAGATACCTACTACCTGGGTTTTCTTCATCATCTCAAGAACCTTAGCAAGCTTCATCAACAATGAGAGAAGTTGCCTATGATGACAAACATCCTGCTTGCAAAACAGGTTTTAATTCCACATTCCTACAGAAAGGACATATCTCTTTTCTACAGAAGCCCTCTCCCTTACCCAGCGCAGAGCCTGCAGTAAGAAGGCCTTGAGACGATCATTCCCTGTAATCAAATCTTTCTTCAGCTTCTCATAATCCAAAGAGGGCAACAATGGCACATCCTGCATCTTCCTACAATGCAAAAGGGAAAGACATTCATCAAAACTCCCTCTCCTTATTCAGTGCAGCTGATGTTACTGAGGTGAGAAGAGCCAAAACAGGAAGTCTGCTTCAGGAAAAGAGCTTCCACATTTTTACACCTTTGTTACTTTTATTACCATTACGATGTTGGAACAACAGACTTTTTTAAACTTGGACTTATTCTTTCACCTTGCTTGCAGCTTATTTAATGTCATAACTTGCAGACACTAAACGCTGACAACTGATTATCTGAGTTTTTTCGTGGCACAAAACAGTACAGTAACATCCTTTTTTTTGCCCTTTGCAGACCACAAGGGTGTGACGGCAGCTGCTTATGGCTGTTAGCATAGTTCTAAACAGAGACAGTAACAAGCTGCAGCTACACCACCACCTCTAAGCCCTCATGCACACAGAAATGTCTTCTCCAAGGCAAAGGAGGGAGGCTGAATAAATTTTTACAGGCTGAATTATGCTGCTTCAACGTAAGACTTAACACAGGATCAATTTCCATGCACCAGTACTATCTTGCAGTGTTTACACTGTAATAGAAGTTTCCCTAAACAAAATTGCTTCCAGTCAATGCTTTAAATTTATATACAACTAAAAAACTTTTATTCCTAGCTTCCTGTCCTACCACTTCTAAAAACAAATTTTGTGTTATATGTTTAATCGTCCCTTTAATTATCTCGTAAATAATAAAAATATCAAAACAGGATATAAAAATTTAATAAAACCTTTACCTCAGATATACCATCTCTATTTGATCTTATAAGCCAAAATGTATTAAGTCACTTACAAAAAAATTAAACTTGAAGTACCCAAAAATCCACATTACCAATTCCCCTTTTTTCTGTATTTGTGAGAAGTAAACCAATTACAACAACAGGACCGTAATGTGCAGAAATAGAAAACACAGCAACCAACTCACAGGTGTGGA